AAAAAAGGGGGGGGGGGGGGGGAGGGAGGGAGGGAGGGAGGGAGCGGGGGACTGGTTTGGAAGTGAGGAAAAATCAGGATGTTGATGATAATGACTTACATTTTATGCAAAAGGCCCTGCTGAAACAGCGGTGGGAGGCCAGCACACCTACTCTTCATCGCCACATCGTAATCATCACCTTCATTTCTGTCACGATGAAGATGACGTTTTCTTAATCGAGTGAGCGCTAAGAATTCCAAAGCTTTAAGCCATGTAGAAACATCGCCTCCTTTCATTTCTCCATGAATGCAAAACTTTCACAGTTTGGACACGCCACGCTTCTTCTTCCTCTCCATGTTGTTCTGTCCAATCAGAAGGAAGAGTTTTCTGTCCTGTCTCCCTCAGACGGCACTTCCTGTTTGTTTTTGTTTTTGTTTTGTGTGGGTCGAATTGTGGGTTTTGTTGCAGACACTGCAGATAAAATGGTGAAAGACATCCGCTCGGATCTTCTGGTGGAGTCGATCTGCTAATCTGGTTCATGTCACTACAGCAGGAAACCGGTGGTGGACGTGGACGTTCCTGCGGATGGTTTTCCCAGTCGTGCGTTACTTTGTAGACTGATTTCCTTCTTTACAGACTGCCACTGTTCCCAGTCAATTAGTATGAAAATCAGTTTCAGATCTGCAGTTTTTTGGTAACTGCAAAAAAGTACAAGACAAATTAAAAACGCAAAAGCAAATCTGGCTAAATAAGTAGAGAAAGGATAGAAAAGTGGTCCAAATGACTATAGTGCTGTCTTGTCCGTTGTGGTGAATTCGACACCCCAACGGACGCTGTGGTGCAACACTGTGAAAAGGATGCCGTGAATCTCTTAGCAGCTGATTCTTGGTGTCAGGGCCTTTAAACGCTCCACAAAAATAAAACAACACGGCTGCCCCTGCAATTGAAGTGTAGGAGGAGCTCGGTTTACAGCCCGATGATGATTTGGAAATCAATCAGCACAGAGACAAAATCACTGGTGTGATTTTTAAAATCCATCAGATCAAAAAGCTTCGTTCTGGTTCTGTCTCCGTGCTGCATTCAGGCTCTCATCAGATGCAAAGTTTCACAGTGTTGAGAAACTGTAGGCACAACTATTGTACGATGTACTTTCCACAAGCGTAGCGACGCCCCACAGCTGTTTGGGGCACAAAAATGATTTACCGAGCCCTAAAAGCTGAGTTAAGTAACTGCGATGGACTGAGGCCAGGGACGAGTTGACTCTGTTTGCTGTGTCGTTCCGTGAGGACAGTCATAACAGCCTGACACCTACACACATTTTTGAACATGACTCTATGTTTAGTTTTTGGCTCGACAGACTCGACCTACTGTTGTGATGCGTTCAGGCAGACTGAGCTCTTATTGGTCCTCTTTTAAAAAGGGGGCGTGTCTGTTTTAAATGTTTATCTTTGAGCACAACAACATGTTTTCCAAGCAAAGCATGTTGGGAACTGACACGACCTCTTTAGTTCACGGACCAATAATATGAACGAGGCAGGGTTTATGTCTAGATTTGACCAGTGGTCAGGTGATTACCTGGTGATGTCATCAGCAGTCTCTCCACCTTTGTGATTGGTTCTGTTTTATGAATGAGCAGCTCTTTAACTTTAAATCGAACAGACAGCAGGGACAGGTCATGGTTGCTTCAGCTGATGATCACAGTAGTCAACAGGCTCCTGGATTCACAAAAAGCCACAGTGAAGATCACTTTTATTGGCCAAATCTGTTACGCACACAAAGAATTTTTCTCTGGCAAGAACCAAGGCTGTTCGTCTGCGGCGCCAACTCACACATGCATGCACACGCACCGATGGTACGGCTGCCCCTGCAAGATGTTGCTTTGGCCATCGGGAGCAACTCGGGGTTCAGTCTCTTGCCCATGGACACTTTGACCTGTAGACTGGGGAGAAGGGGAATCAAACCTCTGACCTTCCGGTTAGGGGACGACCGCTCTATTTCCTGTTAATGTGCTGGTTTCAGATTGTAAGGCCTCATTTAAAACATCACAGCTCTGGTGTTTTGTGTCACCATGAAGAGGACAGACTGCTGAGCCAGGTTGTGCTCTGTGCCTCCTCATCATGGTGCGTTCATTAAACCTGGGAATTCTTGGTCTCTGAGCTGCGGCATAAGATACAGCTGGAGAGGCTGATGCCACATGTTTGCCAGGCTCTCACACGCTCAAGCATGTGGTTTATATTGATTAGTGAAACTTATCAAAATGAGCGAGAGGAAATGATCTCACATTGCACATGTGGTTCCTGTTCTGAGCTGGTCTGACTGGGGAGGTCACTGGTGGGAAACACGGACAATCATTGACAACAAAACTGCAGAGAGAGCTGAAACAAAGAGACGCCGTTGACTTAAAGCAAGACACGAGTCAGGAGTAAAATCCTGTGCCGCTGCCTGGGTATGCGGGTAATGAAACGACAAAGTCGTACAGCTAGCGGTTATTGTCTTGTGGATGCACCAATGTGCGACACTGCCTCGTGCAGCTTTAATTTTGACACATAGAAGAACAAATATTTAACTGTTGCAGAAGCGAGTGAACTGAAGCTGTTTTATCACTGATTTCATGAAAGCATGACAGCGCTGTTCAGACCGCTGATGTGTTCAGGCATTGGCTGATGGGACGATTCAGTTGCTTCGAGCTCGTCTGAATGTCCTGAGAAAGACAAGACAACTTTCTGTAGTTGGTGAAAACGTCCAACACCAGAATGTATGAAAACAACCCATGTCTGTTAGCTTCTGTAAACACTGAGATTCTCCCAGAAAACTTTGGCTGAAATCTGAGTTCCCTACCTGCTCCCAAACAACCGTGAATGGATTAATGAAAGGGCCGACCAGGTACAGGCCCAGGGGCCTGAGAGGTGACGGGGCCCCTGGCCGGGGGCCTTTCACCTGGTTGTGCGCAGTGGCCCATTGTCTCCAGACCTGTTTGAAATCAGATGAACAAGGACCAAGAACCAGTGGTGGTTTAGACCTAGTCGTCCTGGGTTTGACTGAGCTTTCATAATTTTTCAACATTACACTAAGAAATAATTTATTTAAAAGTACAAATAATTACATCATTTTCACAGGTGCTAGCTGTACCTCCTTCCATGAAGCCACTGGTTTCAATTCATTCACACTTCATGGGCTACAACATGAAAAAACAGCAGAATGGTCCTTTAACTGCTTGTGTTCACAGCAACCCGAGCCACTGCACTGCCCACTCCGACCTTCACGGTACATCAGCCCTTTACTCCTGTCCCACCTTACCAACCACCTTTTCCCAGAAAGATCTCGAGCTTTTCCCAGTTTACAGTCAGCGTCCACTTCCTGTGTTTCTCACCCAGTTGCATATTGACACGGTGTTGCACTGTTACCAACACCTTCCAATAAAAATGAGACGTTCTCTCCCAGTTGCATATTGACACGGTGTCGCACTGTTACCAACACCTTCCAATAAAACCTTCTTTAATTTTAATGTTGACTTAAAACATCTTCTTCCATGAGTCATTCAAGTAATTTAATTGTTTAAAATATTGACTAACAAGACTACGTGTATGAGCAACGTGCTCTGTGGCAGTTTAGTGTCATTGTCATGTAAAGAACCTTCCAAACACTAGGAATCTGCCTCTCTCTCTCTCTCTCTCTCTCTCTCTCTCATTTTATTAGCCAGTAACAATTCTATTAAGTAAGATGCTTTTGGGGTTAGTACTACCCAGGCCACGTGCACAGCCTGTATGAATATGAACTGTGGCAAAATGGATTTGTGCCACAACTTTATACATAGGTTTTAAAGTTGTTCAATTTAACAGATTTGAAAGTTCTCAGTTTTTGTTTCTTTCACAGGAGGTTTCTTTAACCAGTTCACTTCTGACATGACACAGTTAGTGCACAGCTCTCTGTCCTGTCAGACTGTTGAACTGAAGCAGTTGAGCCGAGGTGGGAGACGTTAACATGAGCGTCGGGTTTCCATCTCTCGTCACGTGAAAACTTCTGAAGTAGTTTTACTGCAGAAGTCAACCAGGTTCTAGTTAACAAGCTGCTGTTAACGAGGAGAGTCTGGAGTCTGAGTGCAGCACAGATTAAACTCATGCAATGATTTCTGGGAAAGTTCGTCAGCTCCCGTCGGCCGACACAAAATGTGAGCAGACTGAAGATGCTCATCGTGGCCAGAGACACTGATCCGACATGAGGACATTCTGCATGTGTAAAATATCACACACATTATTTCGGCTGAACTGTGATGCATGCTCTGTTAGCACTGCTGTTTCCGCTTCCGTTCTGAGCTACATTTAAAGTGATGACGTCGGGGTGGGCGGGGCCATAGAGGCCCGGCGCCAGGGGTGTGGTCATTTGTCTTTTCTTGTTTGAAATTCATGTTTTTAAATTCTGATGGTTGAAAGTGGACGATGGATGGAGTGACAGGGAAAGGACCGAAACAGTCCACGCCATGCTGCCCGTGAGAAAGTCTTCCAGTCGGGGTTTTTTGGTTGGACCTCGAACATTGTAGAGAGCAACAGAAATGCTGGTGGTGTTCTGCTGTTGTCTCCGCTGCTCCAAAGGGACATTATGTGTTTGTGTTGGTGTCAGCAGCCAAACCACACCACAGGAATGTTGTAACACAAATGTCCTTTCTATCAGTTGTGCTTCTAGAGCTGCTGCCGTCTCAGCAGGAGGTCGTCCGCACAGCAGCGTCTCTGCCTTCATAATCACAAGAAACAAAGATATGAACCCAAAGTATGGAAGAACTGGGTTTAAACTGAAATTTAAAGACTCCCCGATGTGGTCCAAATGTCCCAAATCACTGGTTTTTGTCTGAAAACTCAGCAGTGAGTTTTTTAAATGGCACTCAGTTATTGCTGATACTTCTTGATGTTGCTCAGTCGTAATGCCATTTAAACCAGTTAGTTCACTTCCTTTTCTCTGGTTTTTATTTTAAAAAGTATTTTTATGCATCAATTTTTCTCAGATTTTCTTTTGCAAATCCCTATAAGAATAAAATAAACACAAAAAGAAGAGTGAAGCCATGAGCTGTATGGTTGAACGGGAAAAGGGACGTCATGTTAGTAGTTTAAAAGTCAGTAGTACAACATCATTCTGAGCTGCATACACTCAGCAGCCGCCTGTTCCAGGAATAAGTACAGTTGGATTTTCCATAATATAACTGACTTTGCTGTTAGAAGCCTTTGTCCGTCTTATGCGCTGCTCACATATCGTTTCATGCATTACTAATGTACGGGCTCATGTAAAGGTTCTTGATATGTGTTGGTGAAATGATGTTCATGAACACTTTCAGAGCCTCTGGTTGTTTGTACAACTTTGAAAACTTAAAGTTTGTGACTATGCAGAAAAGATTTGGAGCTGCAGAAACAGCTGAATTGTAGTTAAATGTGTGCGTGCATGTGCAGGTTTTCTGCTTTGAGTCTGTGCTCAGACGTTCATCAAATCCGTTTATTCACTGTCTCTCACTGTCGCTTAGTTGGAGCACAGATGTTATTTAGATATTCTCAAATGTTTCCTGCACAAACTTGAATCTCTTCTGCATATTTGCACTAGTTTGCAAAACCTTCATTTGTTTTGCTTAGAAATGATTTTGAACATCATTTCACATTCACAAAGGCGTCTTGACCTATGACATATCTAACAGGTTCCCAGTTATGGTCACGTGACCTTTAAAATGGCAATTACAGAAACGTCCGTGTGACAAGAAAATGGTGCACAGCAACAAAAGAAGCTAAATGTGGTAAATCTTTATGGAAAATGTGTTGTCACCTGAAGGCAGCATCAGATTGTGAACAGAAGTAGAATGGGTAGAAAGGACACTGTGGTGCCTGCGAGTCGGCCTGCTGACCTCTGACCTTTATCCAGAGACAATAAGAGACTGTAGGGAGCACTGCCGCTGTCGCACGGGGAAGTCTGCTTCGCCGACGACATCCACGGCTTGAATTATGACTCCATGACCAAGCGACAGCTGGTCTGCCCCGTGGTGGTGGAACGTCTTTGTCAAAGCCTGAATTTTCTCCATCTTTTGTTGTGTTTGCTGATGTTTGCACCTTCTCTGAGACACTCTCTTCATATAACGCCTCATATATTAGAACAAAGTCATTGCAAATACAGCGGGATGAAAAGATGATTGAAAAATAAAAAAAGAACAATGTAAAAACATCAGCATCTGCCTCGTTTTTATGCCTGTTGAGTTAGATGTTGTCTGTTAGCTTGTTTAAATGATTAAATGAAGGGTGTAAAACTCAAAGAAACAATAAAAAGCACTGAGCGGCCTCTCAAGCCGCCCAGTGTAATGAGTAGGCTTCCACATAACTTGTTAAAGAAAATGAAAAGTGTGTTTTTGGCCACTGCAGTTACATGAAGACCAGGAGCTGGTTTGTTTGGCAAACAGCAGGTGGCGCTGTTGTTACAGCTGGGCCCATTGAACCACTGTGTAATTAAGAGAGGGCCACTGTGAATGGATTTGTTATAATGTGAAAAATATGTTGTAAACATGCTCGACCTATACTGTGAAGGATTTATTTAAACTCATTTTCTTAGTCTTTTTTCAGATGTATATTTTTATTGTGCCGTTTAAACATTATTTTCTGCTGTGTTGTGTGTATGCTGTTTGTTTGACTGTTTTATTTTGTAATGTCTGATTTTGTATCACGCTGTTTCCTTTCCCATACTCTATTTAGTAGACCTATAAACGAAATTCAGATAGATATTACAAAAACAGAGAAAACTCCCAGTAGTGCTAATAATATAATATATAATCTACACGATGTGTCCGTTTTTATGACTGATTTTTATTGTGCAATGAACAGGAAATGTTGTGAAATGTGTGTAGATCAGAGTCAGGAACACACACATGCTGAGCATCACACTGCACCGACTCAGAGCTGATCAATGAAACTGAGTCAACCTGGTAAAAGACACTTTTAATCTCGACGTGGTTTCCACGGTAAAATAACGGTTAAATAAACACAAACCCTGAACGCACTTCAGCGGTGGATGACGTCAGCACCCAGGGACGTGAACGCACCATAGTGACAAACATGTCCCCATAACCACATGGCGCGTGATGGTGAGTCTGTGATGTGCGCTGTTGCTCCGTGACGCCACCAGAGGGCGACTGCGCTTCAGGTTTCATCGATTACAAGCCGTCCATAGGTTTTATTTGTAAAACTGTAGCTTTTAACTAAAGCTGAGGAAACACTTGTTGTTCCTGGTGAGACTGGAGAGTTCTCACTACGATTAATCAAGAAGATAACTGACTGATAGTTAAGAGCGGCGGTAGAAAGTAAACTACATTTACACAAGTACTCTACTGAAGTACAGCTTGGGGCATTTGTATTTTACCTGAGTACTTCCATGTCCTACTACTTCATACTGTGACTCCATGTCAGAGACAAACCTTGTACTTTTTACTGCACTACATGTACCTGATGACTTTAGTTCTTTTTCAGAATCTGATGAATCAAACCAAAGAATCACCAGACTTTGACTTTGTTGAGCAGGATGGAAAGTACTTCCCAGTATAAGTATATAAGGTAGTTACCATCAGCTCCACCTTTACCAGCTGCAGCATTAAAGTGATGGACACAGTAATTAGTCACTATGATCCAGTATCAGAGACGTTACTGGGACACGGGCCGTTCTGCAGTACTGGTACTATATACTTGAAGTACTTTTACTTAAGTACCAGTTGACTGCCGGACTTTAACTGAGCATTTGCACAGCATGGTCCTGCCCCGATGAGCCTCCTGGCAGCCCTGCTCTGGGGCGGGGGAATGGGGATGTAACATCGCGGAGCGCACGGGGAACGCACGCGGACTGGGGCGGTTGGGAAATCAGACTGGTGTCGCAACGGTGTCAGTAAGGAGGAGGAGGAGCAGCGTGGACCGGAATACACTCAACTTCTACTTCCTACAAGTACTAACGGCCCTCAGCGGTTCAATGTATGTTTTGATGGCTTTGTGCGCGTCAGACGCGCATTTTAAGCAGAAAAGTCGCCACGGACCAAACCAGAGTCCTGATGTCAGCCGGCCGTCTGACACGATCCTCTGGTTTGGATAAAGGCAGCCAGCCTCTGCCTTTAATTAGTTAATTAGTAGGTACGGAACGTTAATCCAGGCTCCCCCATCTGAGGACTTCCCGGATCAGCGGGGTCTGGACCGGCGCGCTCCTCTGGGGATTAGAGCCCTGACACGGGACTGTTAATCATCAGAGCCGCTGCTCCCGGTGCTGCGGCACCAACCGGAGTGTGACTGAGTGTCAATCCGCGGCAGGACTCTGTCTCCCCTCAGTAAGCCCGGAAAGACCCAGGACACCCCCCACAGACCGCTCCAGTCCTGGACCCGCTCCGCCCTCACCCAGCTCTGTCCGCACACCCCCTGGGACCAGCAACTGTACAGCCCCGACTGGCTCATCCGACACCGAGGAGATCGACTCGACCCGTTGCCAATGTAAGTTCACGTCCTGTTGGGTTTTCTTTTCGGATTTCGTGATTTTCACTATGGAGTCCGACACTTCCCCGCGTTGTTGTCCTCGTCGTGGGGTTTCTTATACTAAAGGTCGCTCAGAGTGAGAGACCACCCCGACAGACCCGTCTTTACTGCTGGTTTGCGGATTTGCGTTTCAAAATCTTGTAATTTATTCCTTTATCTGTTATCTTTGCCAGTATGTACAAGTCGAGAGCACAACGACAGATTATGATCAATCATTCACATATATTCTACATTTCGGCTTACACATAAACCCCAAACTGCGCTCACATCAACACAAATAGGCCACAACTTGAATCCGTTGTCTCTTATTTCACCAGCTCCAAATACAGCGCATTGAACGGTAACGCTCAGTGAAAGACAGTCATGACATCTGAGATTCCTTAAGATAAACTGTTTCTTGCTCAGTCATTTATAGGCCGAATTCATATACGAATTATATTATTTGCAAACTGCGGTGTAATTCAAAAAGGAGTTTGCTCATAACCTTCCAAACGACGTGGACACTGAAAGGAACACTTTTTAAAACTGAGTCCGGGGTGAGTTGGACGGTCTGTCCTGTCCCTCAAGCAGTTGGTGTTTTTCATCGATCCGGTCTGATAATCAGATTATATCAGTCCGATCAGTTTGGGAACTCTGCAGTGATCAGCAGAAACACACTGCGGTTCACCCGATTCTTCCTCATCGTCTTCAAACTAAAATGAGGTGTGGCAGAAAGATACAAAATGTGTGCATTCATCATCATCACATGTCCACAGGAGACATGGGAGCATTATGTGTTTTCACTTCTGGCACTAAAAACTGATTAAAATGAACCAAACTTACTAAATAAAGGAAAACATAAACAAAACCTTTATCACTTTTATTGCCAAAAAGACTTGATGGTCATCCAACCAGAAGAGCAGATCCCAGATGAAGGACACGAGACAGTCTCTGTCCCTGCCTGTGCTAGAGACACTGCTCTCTGAGGTTCAGCCTTATCAATCAGATCTGGTTGTTTTCTATTAGTTTGTTTGGTCATAAACTAATCTGCCTTAGATGTACTCGTACTATCTGAATGTGGGTGGACCACCAGTGCAACTAATGTCGACTGCACTTTCATCTGTTTTTGAAAATAAACCACAGATTATTGATAAAAACAAAATTTTCCTCACTGATCAACGGCTACTTGGAAAGTCAAGCCCTCTCATGTCTAATCTGTAAAAAAAATCATCCATCTGAGATGAAAAGCTGTGTGAACCAGTTTCTTTCTGCAAACCACAGTGACAAACCTGTAAATCCCACAAACTGCAGAGACCATGTGACTGAGCTGAGCTGGGCTTCCTGCTGTTGGTCACTTGGCCCCTGAGCGCTACAGCCTCAACACTCAGCTCATGTGCGACAGAGTCTTTGTACTCGTATTTAGTCTGAAAGCAAACTCTGACCTGCACCTGCAACATGCTGTGTCATGTCACAGGCCGTGGTGTTGCAACAGAATTCAGCATGTGAAGCGTTGCTGCACAGATTGTGATATGAAGTAACATCAGTAAAATATGTTACAGTGAACTTCCACTTAGCGAGGTGGAGTCTGGTGACTCTTTAAACCAGGGTTTGATTTGTAAACAGATGTGGAACATCTTTCATCTCAACAACCAATTGGGAATCATTCAAAATCCACACATTGTTTATTATAGATCAGAGTTGGGAACATAGAAAAACTGACTCATGTGGATTCGTTCATTTCAGCTTCATTCAGAAAGTCATCAGTTTTAGTTCCCTAACAGGTCGGAAGTGAAACTGACTGCAGGACAAAACACCAGGTCAGATCTGTTCTTATATAAACAGTTTCTTCAGGGGATGTTTGCAGGACAAGATCACATGTCGGCTAACACCTGCACTAACACACTGACGTGCGTGGGTCCCACAAGTAAACATCGCCTATTGATCCGTGAAATCACCAGAAAATCAAACAAGATGATGAAATCAAATGGATAAAGAGCTGAGTGTTCCATGTGGAGAGAAAGGAGAGGTGGTGCTCACTGTTATCCATCCAACTCATCTTTGTCCCATAACCAGAAGATTTACTGAGGGGCTGAGAGACCCTGACACACCTGGTGGGACTGACAGTATCTACCAGGACTTTACATAGGGTTACTTCACTAGTACAACTGTGTCCAGGTCACATCATTTAAATGGACACAGCTCCACTGTCGACCTTTAGAGCTGTTGTGTCACAGCATTTCAGTTTTCCTGTTTCAAGAATTGACACAGGTGGAAAGGAAACTGACAAAGTTTGCAAGTACTGACGGACGAAGGCCATTTAGGACCGGGACAGTCCAGGATATGTCTTTCAGAAGCAGTCGGGACACAGGACAACATGCTGGAGCTGCTTATTGGAAACAGGCGGCGCACGTCACCCAGTGCTGTGGCTTGCTCGGGGGTGGGGGGTTGTTGATTTGATCGTGACCTACGACCTAATCAGTGGTTTTTAACGTGTTCTACAGTGAAACTGCAAAGTAAGAGCAGCAGTCAGGTCAGTGTAGTGCAGTAAGAAGTCACATATCTGCCTCTGAAATGTAGTGAAGTGCAAAGTAGCATAGGATGAAGGCACTCGCAGTACAAGTCGCTCAAATCTGTACACAAGTACAGTACATGAGTAAAAGTACTCAGTTACTTCCCACCACATCATAATGCAGCGCAGTGGGAGGGTGCAGGTGTGCTGTCGGTAGAGTCCAGAGCTCTGGGGGCTGCAGAGGTTTGAAGTTTTCTTTGTTCATATAACGCTCAGTGTTTGTACTAAAGCCTGCACCACTGATCCACAAACACCCACCAGACAGACAGAGGCATCATCTTGCAGTTTGGGACAAATCAGAAACACATCTCTTAAAATAAATCAGTGCAGCCCAGGAGAAAACCATCCTGCTCCGTTTGTGCCTGTTCCTGTTAGGTGTTATACACCGTGTCTGCCTGCTGTTTAATCTGAGTGGTTTTGTTATTTATGCTTTTTTACCTTTTAATTTTACCTCCCTGGAGTGAGACGCCGCGCTGTGTCTGTGGTGTGATGTTCAGTGTGTTTCCAACAGTACAAAGCTTATTTGGTGCATCTTGTAGCTGAGGTGCTGCTACAGGCAGTAGAACCTGTGGTGGCTGATTCTGTGGTGGACGTACTGCACTGACATTGTTACTGACTGTTAAATACACAAATACACTCTGTGGCACGAAGAACACAAAGCACTGACACGTAAACTGTTTGTGCAATTTACATTTCCTCCCTAGTTTGTATGATCAGCGATGTGTGGACGCCCACTGGGCCTGTCATCAGTGCTTTCCTTTGGTTACCTTTAGTAGTCACTTGTTGTCTCCATTAACACGCTCCTCATGTTTCTGCAGGGCATCCTTCATCTCCACCCTCCTCCTCCTCTTCATCGTGGCGGTAGGGATTACACCGGCTGTCAGTCAGTCCAGTGACCCGACAGGTAAGTGGCAGCTGTGTCAGGTGGGTTGTGATTGGAGCTCATTAGAGGACACAGATCAGTGACGCCACAAAGTCCACACCGGTGCATTCTGGGCAACGGCGGTCAGACTGTTGTCAGCACGTACATCCACATGGTAGCAGATTAGTATAAAGCCGGTCAAACTGTCATCAAGTGGTGACATCAAGTCAAGTCCCCTCACAGCCAGAAGGTTCGCGGTTCAATCCCCGTCAAACCCGGGGCCTTTCTGTGTGGTGTCTCCACGTTCTCCCTGTGCCTGCGTGAGTTCTCTCTGGTTTCTCTCCAGCTTCCTCCCACAGTCCTAAGACATGCAGCTTAGGTTGATTGGTGACTCTAAACTCCCCGTAGGAGTGAGTGTGGTTGTTTGTCTACATGTCAGCCCTGTGACAGACTGGAGACCTGTCCAGGGTGGACCCCGCCTCTCGCCCAGTGTCAGCTGGGATTGGCTCTGGCCCCCTGTGACCCTGCTCAGGAACAAGTGGTATAGATAATGGATGGATGGACATTGTCATCAGTGTGCACACATGTAAATTTGTGCGCAGTCGCATGAGCAGTGTTTTCAGAAGTGAGGGGGATTAAAAGGTGTGAAATATGATCTTACTGCTGTCTGCTTCCACATTGTGCACAGCAAATCAGTTTTGTTCATGTGGTGCAGCTCTGCAGAAGCGGGCTTTGATTAAAACCCAGCACTCTGGCCTCATGGGAGGGTGAATGGATGGTTCCAAGGAGACGAGGGTCGTTTGTAAGACTGTCGGAGGAGCAAAGGGGGAGGATGAATGCAGGAACAGATACTGTAGGGGGTGCATGCTGCAGCTGATGGAGCTGGGTGATGGAAATGAGCGAAAAACATAACGTAATGGTTCATTAATCGTCCAAGTATGAAGTTGCAACGTTGCCAGCAACATGCTAATGTCGGAACTTTGTAGCTCTGTTCTGTTTCAGCTGTGGTTTGAACAAACGAGAAAAACTGAAGATGATTTATTTCCCTTCTTGCATGTGGTGCACCACAGGCTACTGCTAGTGAGTACTAGTATTCCCTTACACTTACTTCTACTCCACTACTTGAGAATACTTGTGATGGATGATGCTTAAGCTCCTAAATAAATTCTCCTCCAACTGAAACTAAACAAACTGTAGCTGCTGTTCCAAACACATGAAACCGCACACAGATGGTAAAGTTCAGAACAACACAACCAACAGTATTAGTCCTGAAACACTGAGGGCCAGTCTTCTTTTTCTTTCTTTTTTAACTTTTGATACTTTAAGTACATTTGGCTGATAATACGTCTGTACTTTTCACTTGTGTCAGGTTTTGAATCCAGGACCTGTAGTGCAGTATTTTACAGTACTGTTTGAGTAGAGGATCCAAGTACTTCCTCTGTCGCCGAGAATACTACCTTCTTGTTAAGGTCAAGAATTTACTGGTGTCACTGTAATGAGTTGTTGTTTACAGTAAAACGATTAATTATTTATCATCTTGTACAAATTTTACTCTAATATGACAAAACCGACTGAGAATCATGTAAATACCAACATGCTCAGGTCTGCAGCTGCACGGTACAAATATTCCCTTAGGCTTTACCTGTACAGTGTCCGACACTGCAGCAGTGTGTTACAGAAGGCTGGATGATGTGGGAGGTGGAGGGGTGGGATGGTGGTGCTGGGGGTGGATGGATGGATAATGGAGGAGGAGGAGGAGGAGGAGGAGGGGGAGGGATGTTGGACAAGGTTTTAATAGAAAGACTAATATACCGGCTGAGAAACTCTGACAGCTCCATCACCAACACACAGCAGAGAAGCTGCAGAGAGTCTCCATTTATCGTTCACTGCTCAGGATCTGGAAAACCAGCAACACTGAAAGTGCTCTACTCTAGGTTCTCAAACTGCGGCTCTGGACCCAAAGCAGGCCGCTGTAGGGAACTACTTGTAATTAAACTAGTAGTCTAACTACATTTTGCAGTAGTTTACTAGTAGTTCAACTACATTTATATTTGTGCAGTGACTGAAATAGTTCACTACACAAATATGGCAAAAATGTAATTTAACTCCTGGAACTACAAATAATTTTGACCCATAAAAGGAATTATTTATTTTTATGTCACCATTGCTTGTCTAACCCGCTGCCTTCTGGACAAGAACTGTGCTCACATGTCGCATAAAGAGGAGGTTCTGCTATGAGGAGTAGCAGCAAAGGATGGGCCTCGTTACACCAGTGTTTAAGTTGTTCATGTGGTTTAACAGGTGTAAGTTCAAGACCAGTTTAGTTGTTATACATACATACATACATACATATAT